GGCGTGAAGCCTACTTAAGACACAAAAACAGTATTTAAACAAAGATATATGTTGGTGTGGACATTACTTAGATATGAGCTGGATTTGGATAACGTAAGAGTTACATATTGAAAAAAGATGTAAAAAACATAGGGATGCCATAGTATATTCAAAAACCGGGCACAGTTATATATGTAGATATACTATACATGAGAGTTATATAACATGTATTTTAGTATCAATAATAATGTATGTATACTAATAATTTAATATTAATTAATACTAACATATTAATCTATACGTTTAATAATTTTAATTTCTTTGATATTTTTTGATACAAAAACTTCATAGTGAGTCATATAATTTTTTATGTATTTAATTGTATATTTATTTTAATTATTTTAATTACTTTAATACTTCTTCTAATTATCTTATATGTGTGCAATCTATAAATACTGTGTATATATAAGTTCAAATAGATGTTTATTAGACTTGGTTTTCTGATGTTGAAATATCCATTATAAAAGCTTATTCTATAAGATGTAAAGATATTTGTTATATTTTTAAATAAATATATTATTTCACGAAAAAATCTCAAATGGACCGAATTATGTATAAAAAACTTAAAAATTGTACAGTATGCCACATACTCGTATATAACACATCACGAGTTACTCATACGAGGACAGTATTTTTTTATTACTTTTTCCACCTGATCTGATAAAAGTTATCATTACTAGTGGAAATAATTTATTGCATCCTTAAGTTATCAAGTTACCTTGGTTTAGAATAATGAAGTTTAATACGACCTTCTATCGCCTAGTTGCTTCCGTTATCTTAATATACATTTAAGTACAGTACGATATTTATATATATATACCCTTCTGTATATATCTACACATTAGTAGTTATATTTTTTTGCTAAAAAAACATTTTTAGAATTTTGATATCTTTTTTTTATTTATCTTATAGAGTAATCTTTAAATCAAGTATGTCTGATCTATGCAAAAAATGTTTAAGAAATGAAAATTGTTTTAAATGAAAATAATTATAAATAAAACTTTTAAGTTCAGAGATACTTCACTTAAAAAAATCTAATAAAAAATAAAATTTATTTGTTTCAAAAAGCAGTAATCTTTTTTTCATTCATTGACTTTTGGTGCTTAATCGGTTTTTTTTGAAAGGCTTCCTTTGCAGACTCTCTCACTTATACCAATTTTATATATTTTTTAATATATTTTTTTTAACTTCTTAATAAAAAGTCTAAATATATATTCACAAGAAAATTGATAATTTTGTCTTCATGTTTATTCCTCAAAACAGTCTTTAAATCTACTCTTTTGATTATTTTTTGTTTATTGTCAAAATATCAAAATGTATTCTTATCACTGCCTAAAGTATTCTATGTACTGCTTGTGTTTTTTTCCGAGATTATTTTATCAGTTTTATTATAGTGATTACTAGAAGATTTTTTATTTCGGTCACAAGTTAATTAAGCGTCTTCTTTTCAATTCGAATAAAAAGGGGGAAAAATTCACACAATTGAGAAATTAATAAAAAATTTGAAAAAAAAATATTTTCTAAAGCAATAAATTATAATTTAGTTAACTTTTTTCTCAAATATTTATTATATGCATATAAATAGAAAGAAAATATAAATTTATTTTATTTTTATTCTTTGTATATGGAATACTCATTCATCTGTAAAAGTTTTAAACAGATCGATGATAAGTGGTAAATACCAGTGGCAAGAATCCTAAACATTGAATGTAATACTCGTATCATACCTCGTCTTTTATCAATAGTATAATGAAATGTAGAATAAAGTACCAGAATACCTTCATGCACTTTTAGTAAAATGGACTACTACACATAAAGTATTGCAGATAGAATTAAATAGATCATACCCTTAAAACCTAAGTTGTTTTAATTATTTACTTGATTTTTGGAGCCTATAATACTAGAACTTTTAATATGTCTCATAAAGTGAATTATATCTCTCATTTTTGTAATGATAAATTATATCAGAATTTCTAAAAGCGAAGATGATACATACTAAGATAACGATTAACTGAAAACAGTGTTTTAATTACAATTATTATACTTATTTAAAATTTACTTACTTGCTTAATTGACTCTTACGAGCGTATATCGATTGTGGTCGTGTTTAAAATCCTCGTCTCGTTGCCTCTATATTTGGCGCAGTGAAGCCATTCAGAAATATGGAAAGCAGACTGATACCTATACTTGATCATGCTACGATAAAGGAAGGCTGTTATCTTTCATTTGGGATCCTGAACTTAGGAACACTTTAAAGAATGAAAAATTAGGATACTTGGCTTGCCTTGATGCGTCCCTGAATGTATCTCTAGTGGTATTGTTCTATGTTCTCTTGGAGTTGATTAGAAGTAGTATTTATTTATAGTACTTATAAGACACTAACATAGTGTATAACTAATAATAAGTGAAAGACACCTCATGTAAAACTTTCTGATTAATTCTATATAACACGGCTAATTACTGAGAACTTATTAAAAAGACGAATTGAATATTGTATGGCTTTGTGCAGTTCGTATACAGGAATGTAAATGCAGTACATTGGAATATAACTCTTTTTATACATTGTAAAGATTTTGGATACGTATAGGACAAAAAAAGTAAGAATTTCCGCAGCTTTGGGTTTCAGAAGAAACAGGTTTTTGAGGAAGTACTTCTTTAACTGTTCGTCGGTAAATTTAAAGGATCTGTTAAATTTTTAAAGTTGAACTGTATACATGTGTATATGTATATGTATATTTTAACTCTTTCGGTATTTTATAAGGAATGTGATAGTAAAGCAATGAATAATTTCTAATTTTTGGAAGTGAACGGATTTATGTTTACTTGCCACTGCAACCAACTAAACATGTCAAAGTCGTGGTACAACTCATACAGATCGTAGTTTTCTCAATAAAGATATACATCATTGATAGACGTAAATAGAACCAACAATTTTACGTAGACTTTTTCGCTCGAAAATATTTAACGATCGTTACTCTTTGATTTCCATCGTTCATGCTTTTACACCATATAATAGGACGTATAAAATGAGCGCATTGTTTGAAATTATTTTTGTTTGGCGAGAAAGGATTCCACGTCTCAATTGTTTACCGAGTGAATAATAGCACCTGTTGATGATATTAACTAAACGCTTGATCTCGAGAGTGATGTTGTTATTGCTATTAATGCTGATTCCATGCTAGACAAATTTCTTTGCAATTCTAATAATAATAATTAAAGTTATCGGCAGTGACGAAGGATCCAGAACGTTAACACGTGTATTTCACGATAAAAGGCGCTAAAAGGCAATACAATACAGAAAAATGTTTACCGAAATTTTTGTCAAAATTGACTTTAATTACATTGAATGCTTTTTGTTGTGATTAAAATATCTAAATAATAAATAACTTTCCATGGTTAGAATTGATTAGTGAACACTTTATTCTTTATTGTAATCAGTAGAGTTATATATGGGCTCTTATATCTATAGTTTAATAAATCAAACTGCAAATTAATGGATTCGAAACCTCTCACCTCTGAAATGAGAAAATATTGCTCTTATATTATACTTTACTGTTTACAACTTCAACAACATTATGTCTGATCTGACTTATATCTCTGATACTAAAAATAATAACATAACAGTCATAAAGCTAGCTAAGCTCTTCAACTTTATTTTAACTATTTAAACACGAAATAAAAAATAATCAAAGACAGCTTTCCTGTTTCTTATTAAATTAATTTTTTTTTAATCTATTAAGCAATTTTACGTTGGTAGATTATAGACTTTACTAGTACAATTTGTAGATAAATTCTCCAATTAAGTAATTTAAATTGAAGTTAAAGAGAAAACATGTAAATTATTTCAAATGTGTGGAATGAAATCTTCAATGTCTGAGCTAAGGCAAAATTGTCATAGGCCTTATTATGATTGAAATGCCCTTTCGTACTCAGTGCTTGCATATGTAATCTTTAATAAGCAATTAGCAAACACTTCCTTATTAGAAAAAAGGAAACTAAACTCAGTCAGTAATTATTAGTTTTAATGGCGTTTTATTAGAAGTTATTTTAAAGTTGAAAAATATGTAAAAAATTATAAAAAAATCATATTTTATATTTTTGTTTAAGTGTAGTTTATTAGTAATTAAGATTCCATCACAGTAATACACTATTACTACTAACCTTCAGTCATGAAATGGGTTAAAAATTATTTTTTTAAATAACTAATAACATATATTTTTTAACGATTATATATTATCTACATAAATATTAACCTTAATTTCAAAATATCGTTCTGGTTAGATGCCATATTTTAAATCACTAAATCTAGATTAGTGACAAAATTTAGTATTTTTCTTATATATATCAGAATTACTTATTATATTTTCTAATATTGCAGTTTCAGAAAACTAAATGGGTTTTATACCGGAATCTCCGATGTTTTAGTATAATTAAACCGAAGCAAAAACCGAATGATTGCGGTTTCCAATCGGTGGTCCGCAGACCACTGGTAGTCCGTGATATGGTTTAAAATGGTCTGTGAATTAAACTGAACAGATATAGATACATAGCTTGTAGTTCATCCACTGAGAACTCATTTATTAGAAAATAAGCACAACAAATTTCCAAGTAATTATAAACCTACTTAATAGCCTACATAATGTACCTATATGTATACTTATGGAATTCATTATACATTATACCAGAGATGCATAAAGCATATTCAAATAATCATACAATTTATTATTTTAAAATTTCGTGGTCCATACTAAAAACAAAAATATTATAATGGCTTTTGGTCAAAAAAAAAGGTTGGGAACTTTACATTTTCTTTAATTTAATTAATATAATGAGATAATATAACAAAATAATAAATATTTGAAATCGAAATATTTGAAAAGTAATACATACTTCATAATTTCAGACTTATTCTTATTTAAAATATTTTTCAAAATGATATATATTAAAACCACAGAAATTACATTTACTTCAAATTTTATTTCCACAAAATATATCCACAAAAATTTAGACAAGCAATACTTAGTATTCTTGCAAACATAATGTTCTAGAGCTTGAGAAATCAATATGTTCTAAAATCAATGTTTTAAAACAAACACAATAAATTTGAATGGTAAAGATTCATCCATTTTCATAAAACAAACTTCAAGGTTTAATTATAGAGAATTTTACTTGGTTCTTCAACTTTGAAGTTGTACAGAGTTTAGCATCAGGTCACTTGGAATGGTTGTGGAAATTGAAATTCTACTGCTTTTGTAGTCCATCTACAAGCAGTGAAAGTACTCCGCTTCTAGTTCATCTAGAAGATGTTCAACGAACATCTATAGAAATATTTAATTAAATAAATTTTAACTAGAAATACAATAAAACATACCATTAAGTTAATAATTGTGTTTCTACAAGCAGGAATCTTTCATCAGGAGGCATAAGTTGAACAGAGTTCCATGTACTCCAGATTAAGTCCATTTCCAAAGTTCCTTCAGCATAAACGGTAATTGTTCTTCTGCACGATTTCGGTCACCTGGTTATGAAAACATATAGATTATCATATCATTGTGATATTATCATTATCATATACTACCTTTTATTAAATCACCTGTAGAAATTGTAGTAAGAGTCCAAAGTGAAGTTTTCACCAAGTACTGATTGATGTTAAAGTAGTAATTTCAAAGCCTTTTTAAAAATCAAAAAACGATATATAATTCAAAGACTTTGAGAATCAGTTATCCAAACAATGTCACATCAGGGTAATAAAAATAAGATTATATTTTATAATCCTAGAAGCAATTGTCAAAAAAAATTATTTTCAAAAAAATGTTTAAAACACAAATTTTGAACTATAAAATATGGATGAATTGGTGGAAGAATATTAGGAAGACGCGTACTTACCATTAGCTCCAATAGCGTCAAATGCTATTTAACTGAAAAGAGAAACAAATAACGAAGTAAATTAATTAGTGGAAAAATGTAAAAAGGTTAAAGAACTTTCCATGGAGCAATTATCATATCATTAAAAGTTCTTGAGTGATCCTATTCCAATCACTCGTTTACATATCCATGTACCTAATATCGTTGTAATATAGATTTTTCATGTACTTAAATTGATCAGTAGTTGCGCGACTTATCATTAAGTAATAGAATGTACTATATTATTTAAAACCATCGATTAATACGACATTTCAAGTATTTTAATAAAAGAAAGTTCTTCTCCAGAGACTTTCTTCTATTTCAAGTAGTAGTTCTTCTTATGTTTTTACATTTTAAGTTTCAGAATCTAATTTTTTTTTTTTATAATTTTGAGTAACTTATTCCAAAAGAAATTTATTTTAACTGAAATGTATTGTATTTGGATTTACCTTAAATATTCATATATTTTACACTACTAACTAGATTAAAAATATTCAGTAATTTCATTATGGATGAGTCAGTCCACTATGAGATCATTTATATTAGGACCATGTTATGTAGAGTGTCGTTGGCTCTTTTGAGCTATAACGAAAATGCATGTTATGCAGAGTGTCAGAGAGATTATAATAATATAAAGACACAAATGTTGACATTTATTACTGAATAGCACTGCTTTGCCTAAGTGACGAGACACAGATAGCCTCGGCTCTCATGACCAAACTTGAACAGACATATTATTTTTTTCTCTCACTCTCAATTTTGATTTTCACGAGCCCATGACATAACATGGTCATATGAGAATATTTATGTTTGTTCTAATTTTGTGTTTAGAGATTTTTAATATGGTATTTGAAACTCTACTTGGTAGTGAAGAGAAGTAGAACTAATTTTACGTATGACATTCGAAAATCATAGTCAAATTCCACTGAAGTCACAGCTTAAGATTGGGTTTACGATTGTTAACGGACATTTGCTTAACCTTAAGCCAGTGAAATGTGTACCAAATAGCAAATAGAGAGAACATGCTATCGCTTTTGACCATCTCGAAATCATTTCAGAAATTCTTAATTGCCAATGACCTTTGAAAAAAGCTGTTAGATATTACAACTTTATGCTTTTCAATAAAGCATGACATCTGTGTGGTATTAACTCACTTATACTACAGTAGTGACTATACGTACATGGCACAGTCTTCGCCAGAAGACTATATTAGTCGTCGCCGTAAATATGTACTTAGCTAAGAATAATGATAAATTTGTAATATGAATGAATATAAATGTCTGAATAAAAAACTAACTATTTTAACTATACTACTCTAATAGTACCTCATTATTTGTAGTAGAATCGGATAGTTGATCATAAAATAGAGGATATCCTTTTTTTCTATATTTTTCAAGATTTTTATTTTATAATACATATGGTTTGAAATAGGTTCGAAATTTTTAATCTCAAAGATGGACATTTTGGATTTAAAAAAAACAATGCACTTTATCAGTTCTATTTGATAAAACCGTACTCTTACAAAAAGTAAAAGTAATCTCAAAAGGTAATTTAAGGTTGCTACCGGTTTTTATTACGGGTCATTATGGTCTGAAATATCACCTATATTAACTTTGATTATCTGCTAATTCGGAATTTAGATTATACTCGAAGATAAGGACACAACTTCACATATTCTTTGTGATTGTCCAGCTTTAACAACGCACAAAAGAAACTTATTCTATATGAAATTTCTGTCACCAGAACAGATTAAGAGCTGTTCTCCAGATTTAGTTCTGGATTTTGTTCACAAAGCTATAAAGGGCTTTGTGTAATTAAAATTGGAATTTGGTACGAAAGGACTCTTCTAGTACAAGCTGTTTAATGGGTAGTAAATTGATTATGTCACAAATTTATAGTACTAACGAATTTCTAATCACCTTTGTTGAGAAAATACGAATTTATTTACCGAATAAGCCAATATTTACAAAAATTCATGACACTTTTTTTATGGATTATTGATGAATAATCTTGGATGTAAGGATTTAAGACTTAATTCGATCCCTGAGACTTAAATTAAATTTGATCAATTTAAATTTATTTTGTTAAATTAATTATTTCGGAAAATTTTTGACTAAAGAGTAATGAACTAAATTCTATTTTAAATTAAAAATTAGATTCTAAATTCAAAATTTTAAATACTGTAGCTCGTTTATGTAAATCGTTCGAGTTTAACTCGAAGCAAGCAATTTGACAGATGACAAAAACTCGAACGAAAAAAAGTGAGAAAACAATTCACCACAGTTACATAAACACTTCTAGTGAGTAATTGTCATAAGTGAGAAAATCGTTCGAGAAAACGAAGTGAGAAAGTTAAGTTTTAAGTGCTTATACAAACTGTTTATATATCTTTAATGTTAAATTTTTATGTTGAAAATGCCACGTCTTATGACAAATAGGAATTATTTAAAAGGTAAAAGGTTTTGAATAGAAATGAAAAGACAACAACAAAAAATTTTAGTTAATTTATTGAAGTTTGGCTGACCATACAACGCTGTCTTGAATATTGCCCAGCACTCATCATCATTAATATTTCTTTCAATAATTCAATTAAATAATATTTTTTAATACTTTTGAGTATTTTGAATATATTTAATTTTTAGATCTTTATCCATAATATCTATCCATAATAAAATATTTACGAAGCCATTTGCACTTTCATTAAAAATATAATAAAAATTTTTATTACCTACATTACTTACTTTTATATATAAGAGATTAAGTACGGTTAATCAATATTTTATACATATATTAAAATATATTACTTTTTTGCGACTTGAGATAGTTTTAACTATATAAATTGGTAAACTATCTTTTATTTTAACTTACGAGTGTTATTTGAAGGCATTAATAGTAGTCGTTATAAAATTATTTATTATCTCAAAGCAAAATCGAGTTAAAAAACCTGAACCTGAACCACAGTTAATGTAAATGTAAATGTTTAGATTTTCACTTTCTATCATTAAACGAGAGAGAGAGAGGTTACGCCTGTTATAAAATTAAGGTTACGCCTGAGGTCAGGGTTAAGTAAAAAATTTAATCGATAAAGTCTTTGATATTTTCGGTGCCGGTTTAGTATCTGCACATTTACATGAAAGTATCTGTTAAAATGAATTTGTGTGTTTCATTTGAATTTTCAAATAATCTTTGTGGCCGTGACGCCAAATGGTCTAGCGATGAAATGACTTTAACCCAGAAATAGTAAACAAACAGAGGAGACATGTCTGCTGTGCCCGGTGCGTTGCATCTAAAATTGGATGAGTTGACATACCAACGAGATACCAAATATACGCAGTGGAAACGATTTGTATTGCTATATATGATAAGTTGTTGTTTTATTTTTGTGTTGGAGAAGTCACCGGAATTGTGCCAGTCCAACAAGTTTGTTTTTGAAATGTTCATGTGCAGCCAAACGCCAAATGCTTTCCAATCGCCGCAAATCGCGGACAGACAAATCAAGTTTTGGGTTCAGTTTAGTGAAATTTTTTCTCACGTGCCTCTCGTGATAATAAACCGAAAAGTGAAAGATTTGTCAATTTTTATTTACGTCGCCACAAACTAAAATTGTGGCGGGATTGGACGGGAATTTAGTGAATTGCCGTCCATCAATACAACCTGCGAACACGACCGAAAACTGCAAAACGACAATTGCATTTTGCGGGTGCATTAACCTGGCAATTTGCTAGGCGGCAGTGATGCAGTGCAGCATCTGTCGAATTTCTCAAAATCGCGTCTGTGGGCAGTAGTAAAACAAATAATTTAGGCCCGTGCTTTTATATTTAATGATCATCATGATGTAAGTAAATTAAGTCTTAAAAGTTTTTGTTATTTTCAACTATTTTTGTTGGTTTCAATTTTAATTACTACATAACTTAAAAGCGAGTATCTATATATTTCATTTCCTTATTACTTACTTGATTATTGTTAATAAAGCTAAAAAAAGTTAATGATTCTGCAGAAAGCAGTTTTTTGACAGATAACGATTGGTGGCTTTGAAGCGACAGTAATAAGAAAACAATTAAAGTTATATATTAATATAACTATAATATATATAATATATATAACATAAATAATGCAGTAATATTTTGTTGTAGTTAGATATTCATCTAACTTTAATATTAAAAAATTTTCTTTTCGGAGTATATCACGATGGGTATTTAATATATATATACTCGTATAAGTTTCTTAAACTCCTAATACGATCTAATATAACTTTTCTGCATATATGATACTTCCATGTCCGATGATCTTCTTCAGCTATCCATTATTTTGTTTTCAAAAACAAAATAATTAAAGAGTTTTTAAGAAAAAAGAATTTTATAAGGTAGGTGGATTCTATTAAGAATGCGATAATGGTGCGACTAATCCTTTAAAGTTATTGCCCCGTCCTTATATTTACTACGTTCCAGTTTGGACCTACAACCCATCATATGAAAACCACAATATGAACTAATTTCTCCTATCAGTAAATTAAACTTAGAAACAAAAACAAATCGCCAAGTTATAACCATATTAAGAAAAATTCACTCAATCTAGCAGCCTGCATTTCTGGTGCCCAATTCA